AGCATAAATGATTTTCATGAGATGTGAGCCTTCTCTCCAAGCTCAAGCGTCCAGGTCCAAGCATATCTAGGTCCAAGAACTTCAGATAAGGAGGAATTAGCCTGTGTTCCCTGCTTATTATACGTACATGCTATGAAATACAACTTTTTCCATCTTTAATATTGTGTCTTTTAATATTTAAGAGGAAATAATAAAAATGTAGTCTTTTATTTACCAAGGGTTTACCACTTCCAAAGTAGTTTATTTCTCCTTTTGTATTTGAGCCGCTCTCTGGTGCCACATTCTCAGCTTAGAATTTCTTTTGTGATTTCATTATGTCTAATAAGAACGGGTTTTTCAGTCTTCATTTTCCTGGGACTTTTTATTTCACATTAACATTTGAAAGATAGCTTGCTGAATATACGATGCTTGTTAGCACCTTGTTTTTAAAAATGTTTACTGGTACATGTTTGCAGGACACAGGGATCGCATTCCTTGTGGGGCGCTGGCATGTGTGCACAACAAATCTTAATTATTTTATCTCCTTCCCTTCTCTCCTCCTCCTTCATTCTTTCCTCCTTTTCTTGGTCCCTTTCACTTTTGCAAAAGAACTGTCTCTGTATTTCCTCCTTCTCATCCAGCATATTTTTATTTTGCTTTTTAATTATTCATGCTTCAGGTTTCTCATTTAAGAGAAACCATGTGATAATTTAATTTGTATATCTAAGTTTTTACCTAACAGGATGGTCTCACGTTTTATCTGTTTCCTACAAATGACTGAGGTTTATCCTCCTCTATGGCAGAGGATTCCACTGTGTTTAAATATCACATTTTCTTTATCCATTCGTGCGCTGATGGGCATATGTGACACTTCCAGGATTTATCTATTAAGATGCTTGTTGGCACTTAGAACTGTGATTCCAATGCCTCCCGCTGGGCATTGTTTTGGGTAGGCAGTTGGCTGTTTACCTAGTACTGCTCCTCTGTATGAGTTGCTTTTGTTAGTGACAAGATTTTTCTTTGTCTTTGTCTTTAATGCGCCCACGGTGTGGGTGTGTTTAGGTGGGGCTCTTTCATCTGTCTCACTTGAGTTTTGCTGAGCTTCCTGGAGCTCTGGATTAATAATTTTCATGAAATGTGTGCTGGCCGTGACCACTGCAGTGCTGGTGTTTGCTATGCTTTCCTGTCTTTGCTCCTTCTGGGAGCCTCACTACACATCTCTCAGTGGGTGGACTTCAGGTCTCTTCCTTCTCTAAGGCTCTGTTTATTTTTGTACAGTTTCTTTGTCCTTCACAGTGAATAATTTTTATTGCTGATTCTCAAGTTCATCCTTTTTTCTTCCAGACTGGGGTCAAATTTGTAATCCTCCTGCCTTGGCCTCCCAGAGTGCAGGGATTACAGACTTTTTCCATTTTAAAAATAATTTCTTTTTCTGAATTTCTCTATTTGTCATACTTTTCTCTAATTCTTTAAGCATGATTCGTATTGTTTTTAAATAAAATATTCATATTTAAAATCCAAGATTTAGAGACAGTCCAAAACAGATTTTTATTAACAGATATTTTCTTTTAAGTATAAGTTATACTTCTTTTCTTTGTATATATCTTAGTATTTTGTGGAGGGGATACGTTAGATATTATATTGTAATGAAGTTCTGATATATTGCTTCCTCTGAGAGTTTTTTGTTATTTTTCTTTACCTGTATACTGGTAAACATCAAACCTGCCCTGCCTTAATTTAGGAAATCTGTCTCCCCACTGTGTGAAGCTGACGTTTCTGCTCGATTTTAATTTTACCCTTCTAATTTCTCAGCTTGGATTCATAAGTATCGCGCTGTATCTTCATAAATAGATTTTAAGAGGATGTGCTCAAATGCTTCTGTTTTTCATTTTTTGCTAATGGATCTATGTGTGGGCTAGAGACCATGTTAATAATTCAGACTGATTTCACCTCTTTCTTGCTTTGATTTTCTGAGAGCCCGTCTCTTATCTCCTATGGGCACAGATTCAGGATCCATCAGCCAGGGACATGTTGTTGGCTGGAGGTCATCTAAGTGTTAACACTCCCAGTTTTTGTATGAATCTGTTTTTCTTTCTAAACAGAACAAAAACAACTTTGGACGTGTGAATCTATTGACTTTGACTTTTTACTTTTTATAAATATCATAACATTAATTGCATAGCTCAAAATCAAAGGACTGATTCTCCCCTCTGGCAGTTGAAATGAGCTTGCTGGTTTACATGGCCCACTTAGGCCTGCTGACACATCACATCTGGGCAAACAGGACTAGAGCTAGAGCTTCACAGACTCCTATTATTGTTATTATTATTACTACTACTGTGTTTCCCCCAAATGAAGACCTGTATACAAAGTAACCAGCCTTGAAAACTAGAGATCAAAAGTACCAACCACAAACAGCCTACCCCTGACTTGTAGAGTGCTGAAGTTTTGTTTTTGATAGGTTTGTGCACTTTATAATTGCTTATTGGAGAAGAAATTTGTTAAGTTCTGTTCTGATTCCACTGTAGTGGATTTTTATTCATTTTGTTTTCATTGTGCCATTGATTCATATTGAAATATTATATTTTATTGAATTAAACTAAAGAAGTAAGAAAAGGGGTTTTAGTGGGGATATAGCTTAGCAGCATAAATCCTTGCCTTGCAAGTGCGAAGTCCTGAGTTTGATTCCTGGTACAAAACAAACAAACAAACAAAAAAGAAAACAAAAGGGGTGTTATCTTACGCAACTCAACAATTCCCAAGTATAAGTTGATGGCTTTTGTATATTTTTAAAATTATGTTTTTTGCATACTTAATAGTTGGTCTTCACTCAGAATGATTAATTAAGTGGACTATTGGTCGCTAGAATCAAGAAGAACAAGTTGTATATACATGTCAATTTTTGACAGTTTCTAGACCCATCTGTAGCCTTTGTGTTTCTTAAAATAGACTCCAGCTATTACCGAAATTAGGCAAACTATGGTTGCTGATTTAAGCAGCATTCTGTTTATAGCTCAGCCCCCAGGCTTAGTCAGTAGATGGAGAAGGATTACCAATTCAGAAAGTTTATAGCATTCCACAAAGCTATTATCTCACACCAGGAACTTAAACCCCGCCTGACCATTTTAATATAGTTCTGTTATGTCTCTAAACAAGAAAGAATGTAGAAATAAGTAATTGCTACCATAAAAGGTCAAATGGAAGAAATAAAATAGTTGCATTTAGTTTTAACTTACCCATACTGCCAATTTAAATGTTACAGAACTTTATCCCAAGTAAAAATTATTGATGTTTGCAAGAAGGCATGAAACAAAAGTTGAGTTACCAGCGTCAGAAGCTGCCACTGCGGGGGTACCCTCCTTGCATTTCCAAGTACACAGCGAGAACATAAAATCCAGCCATATCAGCTGCTCATTCAAATCACCATGTGGTGTGACTCCTCTTTCTTTACAGACTTTTCAAACCTCTGATCTTAGATCTGAAGATCTTCTGTCTTACTTAGACACATTTATAGCCACTTATGTACACACACACACACACACACACACTTTCATGTATTACAGCATTCACTTAGATTATTAGGATAAGTACGCTGAGTGTCACACTCAGCTCTCAGCCTTGCACAACCGCGTAACTCACCTGGCAAAGCTGGCTGCTGAGATCACCACCAGAGCATATGCCTCAGTAGTGACTTTGGTACCTTGGAATGCCACTGGTATAGTAATAGTTACCTTCTCATGAGGCTTCCTAAGACAGATAGTGGAAAAATAATCATTCATATTGAAACTGTTTATCAAACATTCAGATGAAGTGCTTTGTGAGCGTCCAATCTGACAGTGAAATCAAATGCAGCAGGATTAACTACGTGATCAAGCCAGTGTGGCAGGCAATGCAGACGATGTAAGAGTTATCGGTCAGGTAAAATAACATGGGCTAAGAAATCACATAAACTGAAACAAGAGAGAAAAAGTCTCACCTTTCAATAAGTATAAAATTTACTACTTTCTAATGTTGGTCCACTTGGTTTTTAGTGAAGATAAGGGAACTTTTGGTGTTAATTGAAAAGTGGATTTAAGACCCCAAAGAAGTGGATTCTGCTATGCATTCGGACGCCGTCATTGATACTCCGTGTGTCATGATATGGTGAAGGTTTTCCTGAAGCTCCTTGCCTCTTGCCTCTTGGTATCTGTGTCATCTTCATTATAATTTCTATCATACAGAGCATACATTTTCATGTTAGTAAACCCTTCTAATAGTGAGCGCCTTTTAAAGATAGAGACTTTGTTTCCTTAGTCTTTAATCCCTAGTGCCTCTCCTAGGTTATGAAACAGTAGATTCTCAAAGGTTACTGACTTAATGAAAGAACAAAGGGACGATGAAAAGGAGAGAAAGCATATATTCATCCCTGGTTCAGAATAATGCTGTCTCTGTGGAGTGACAGGCATGATAATCACACTTTGGGAATGAGGGACTTTCAGTTCAAGCCTTGTTCTGGGAGCTGAGTCTATGACTTCAGGGTTCACTTTCTTGCCTTCTTAATCTGTGTGAGAACAAATAAGGATCTTGAGAAACCTTGTGAACAAATATTTTGAAAGTAGAGACTGTCTAAAGAATGCAGGTAGAAAAGATATGTAAGAATTGTTGAACTGTGAACAGATTTTAATCTAGGTATTTATTTTAAAAATCAGCGATGATGTAAATAAGATGCCTTATTTCTGCAAAGAGTCTCCATTTCTGGCCAGTGCTACTAGGCAATCACACTGCATTTTTAGAGGAATTATTCCCCAACACTTACTGTGTGCCAGGCATAGTGTTATGTGCTAGAAATACACACAGTCTGGCTTCTGTCCTCAAAGGTCTTAAAGTTTGATTAGATAGAGAAAGGTTATAAATAAATACAAGCCAAAGAGTGTGAGAGTGCTATGTTGAAATATCTTCAAGGATGTGGGTGAGCTCAGAGGCGGTGCTCCGAGGGAGGGTGTGTCAGATGCACGTTGAGTCTCAAGGTCAAGAAAGGCTCGATAGAAGGCTTGGCATGTGAGTGAGACAGGCAGAGGAAGCCCTGTGCACACAGCCATGCTACTGTGGGAGCCAGGAAGCGATGCCGGGGAAGGCAGCTGTAGGTGTCACCGCCATGAGATCTGTACCGTCAGGTGCTGTCAGGTGGAAATGGCAGGGTAAGTAGCATATTTGATAGCAACCAAGATAAAGCTCCCTTGCAAATTGAACTTGAAACAAGCTAGATATAAATACAGATCTATTAAGGCAAAGCGCTTCATGTGTCAGTATCTATTAACTGCTTGATGCTGAGATGTATTTGTGCTGAGTGGTAAGAGCTGGTGGGCCTGCCAGTCCCAGCAGGATATAAGACCAGGAGAGGTTTTTCCCAAAGCGAAATATTTGCTTACAAGTACACACAACCCCTGTTGTATTACAATGTGATTATACTTCAGGCTCTTCTGAGAGATAAACTTGTCTGTGATGGAAATCAGAGAGAGAGCACAATGCAAGCTGGGGGCTGGCTGGCAGCATGCGAGATCAAACTGTCTTTTAACTTATATCAGACGAAAGATTAACATTGCGTTTTATGACGTTTTTGCCTGGTATTTGTATTGTTCTGTTAAGGACAATCTTAGGAAATTATCTGAATGCACTGACTTAGTGATAAGAAGGGATGATGAGTTATATCACACGAATGTCCTCAAAAAGGGGCGATGTTTTGGTTAGACACTGGTGATGAGGATTTGCCCTATATTTTATAATGGTATTTTTTTAACCATAGTAAGTTAATAGAGTCGGCCCTTACGCCTTGATTCACAGAGAGCAAGCGTATTACAAGACTCCTCTTCTTTGTGTGCATTACCTGCAAGTTACACAGTACAGACCTCCTCATTGTGAGGAAAACGCACATCTCTAAGTAGGGCGGTCTGGGTCAGCTCTGTGTTTGTATGTGTGCAGTGTATGCCCCTGAATGGACAAACACACGCATTTGTCTTGACATCTGACCTTGCTTTTATCTGAAACTCTCCTTACCATCCACACAGGGCCTTCCAGCCTAGCTTTGTGCCACAGCCTTTGCTATTTCTTGGTGCAGAATAAGATGCAATGATGTAACACTTGAGCCCAGAATGAATTTTAAACATTTTTCCCTACATTTTTATAAGAAAACAATTACAGAGTTTCATGAAATCCTATGGCTGTTCCAGCAATAAAGAATTACAACTATTTCCTCTGTTGCTCAGGGTTAAATGTGATTAAAATGGGACAAAGTCTGAATGTCCAATGAGCATTTTACATTTCAGCAAAATTAATAATGTTGCTCTATCCATGAAAGTACTCTGGAAGGTTAATGGTAGAGATGGGGTGAAAGTTGACAATATTGTTCTTACTGTAATTCCCATACTTAAGCAGCACCAGTACAGACAAACAAATAGCATTTCAATTATAATTATAAAGTTAGTTGTACATTCATAAGCCCTTCTCATTTACTCCAGATATTTCTGGGAGATCCCATCATCTGTTATGTGACCTATGGATCGATTGGCTCATACCCTTAGCAAATTTAAGAAAATTATGCATTCTCTTCTCTGAGGTTGTTTCTTGCTTTAACAATGTCTGCTACTTTCATATCTTTCTTACTGTCTCCATTAAACTATTAAAATGTTCTAGAAAGTTTAATATCTTTCATTGAGGTCCCATAATCCCAGCTTCTTCTTGCCCTTAGAAGAATGATAAGCATAATTACTCAGCTCATGAACTACAATGAAAATATTGTCACAGCTTATATCAGCACGTTTTCTAGGAAGAAGATCACTGGCTGTTACATCTTTTACTTTTTCAAATTTTGTATAAAATAGAATATGATCTGTAGTCAAATGAAGCAAAACTATTCCAGTCATTAGTTTTTACCGTCCATCGAAGGAGTCAGAGAAGGTAGAAAGAATGCTCAGGACTTGTCAAAACTGCATAATTTAGCCATCTTGTCAAATCTCCACTCTGGTAAAAGTAAATAAGCCACCTTGTTAATTAGCACCATCTTTAATAAAGAGATCTGTCTCTTTCTACTGTCTTACTGTGTGGAGAAAGACTTTCTTCAGAGGGAAAGTTGTTAACTCATTGTGGTATAAGGAGTATGTTGTTTTGCATTGAGTTAATGGTTTAAGTTTCTAAAAAAGTTCCCAAAAATTATTCCCTTGGAATAATGGATTTCTCAGAATGTGCACAGCAGGTGAGATGTTGGGGTATATATTTTTCTGTAGTAGATATTCCAGCTGGGTAAAACTTAACTTGCATTAGAAAGAGCTACTGACACACTTTACCCTCAGTTACCTAGTGTGGCTTACATGGGGTCCAAACACTTACTGGGAAATTAACTCAGACAGTCATGGAGATCAGGCCTAACTGCAAAGCCAAGTGCAGAAAACTCACTGGTAACCAAAATGCCAAGAATGAAGGTGATTGGTCCTCTATAATAACAGAAGGTGAGGTTAGCTCAATGGTCAGGATTCTACAACAGGGCACAAGGGCTACATGGGAGTGGCAGTTCTGTTTATAGCTGGTGAAAATCACTTCATTCGGATCCTAACAAGTGACTCTTACAGAGTCAACCATTTCTATTCCTAGCAATAGTTATACATATGGACAGTATTTTTAAGTACAACTAAAAATACAAATGCATATTTACACACTTATTTGTAACACAGATTAAAACCTCAATCCATGTATGAGAGCAGCATAATTACATCCACACACAAGCATTTGCATATGAAAGTCCTTGATTTGCATGGACAATTATGAGTACTCCTTTTTTTGCTGATGCAAATTAAGAAACACCTTTGGCAAATTGGCCTCATAATTTCTAATCATAGAGCATTGAGTAGTGTATGCAGTTTTAGAAAAGGAATCGGCATCATTTCAAGAATATAAAGTCATTTAGACAGATTTTCTCTGGGAGAAGTGCTTGACAGAATAATATTTTCCCCAATAATAATGCTTAAAAATTAAGCATTCAATAATCCATAGCAGAAAGAAATAAAGAACTAACTTGATGGTTTGGGAAAAGCATGGAGTCTTGTACTCTACTTCTCTTGACTATTTGATGGAGAATTTTGTAAGTGTTTCATTCCAAGCAATCAGAGGGCTCCTTGTTTATAATCTTTCGAAGTCAGAGGATTAAAATCTCTGACAGAGAAGAGAGATAGGAAGCAACTGGCATAGTCAAAAGCGTCAGAGCTGGTAGTTTAGAAGGCAAAGGGCATGCTAAGCATTTACCACTGTATTCCCAGGTGTCTGTCTCTTCAAATAAATTTCAGTGTGAGTTAAATATTTCCTAAGGGAGAGTGAAACTCATATTTGGATTGTAGCAGCTGTCAAAAAGCGCAACATCTCTCAAAAGACTGATCCTTTAAAATGATCTTTGATGTCAACTTTGTGTCCAAAGAGGTTGGTCTGTCTTGGGGTGTTTCCACCCAGTAGTTCTTGGTTATTTAAATTTGTGAAAAGATGTCTTATTATGAGCATGATCAGGAGGAGAAAATTTTCAGTTCTGTCATTTATGTACTTGCAGTAATTACACTTCATTTATTGGGTCATGAGAAATGACATTTTGTTTCTAAGTGAATAGAGTTGTAATGAATTCACCTCAGGCAGTTAAATCTTAGGCCTCTAAGACTAGGGTGACACTGCCCTTATAAAATAACTTTGTGGGAAGCCTTTGTGTCCCTGTTTATCTAGGAATATAGCCATCTTGTACACATAAAATGGATTCCTCTATTCAAAGGGAGAGTGAAAAAAATCAGTCTTCCAAAGAGCACTGGAAAACTCTGCCCAGGACTTATGACCATAATTGAGTGGCTAGGGGCCAGGTAGGATGCATTCCCAGATGGGGGTCAGACCCTTCTCCCCAGCTTACTCCTCGGCCTATGTGGATTAGTCTCTTCCAGGAGTAGTTCTGGGTTTTGTTCCTCCCATATTTTCTCCTGATTTACTATATTCTCTCTGTCCTTTCTCTCTCTCTCTCTCTCTCTCTCTCTCTCTCTCTCTCTCTTTCTCTCTCTCTCTCTCTCTCTCTCTCTCATTCTCTCCCTCTTTCTGTCCCTGTCTCCATATATGCATGGGTGTTTGCAGTCAAATTTATTACCATCTACAGTAATAGTAAAGTTTTTCTTCTCACTCTCCTAGGAATAGTTTTTGAAACTGTAAAGGACTTTCATGAGCATGCTAACAGATACAGGAATATTTTATATCTTGGTGTGTGTTATGTTTTAGTAACCTTGTCGTAAGGTATCATAAGGTGAGGCTAGTTTGATGGCCCCTGTCTTATAGACAAGAAAACTGTGTCTGAGGGCGGGGTTTAAAGAATCCATTGGAGAAAGTAACACTAGTCACTGTGAGGAACGGCTGCTTCTTACCTTAAGGACTTCTAGTTTGGTGCTCATCGTGGTACTAAAGCCTGGCACCTTCGTATTCTGTGCATCCAATAGCAGGCAGCATAACCTCAGATGAAGCATGGCCTCCATATCAATGTCTGTTAGAATGCGTGTTTCTTCCTCAGAGCTTACTAAATGTGCCCAAAGCAAGAACAATTATTGGTATTAACTTTTAATCCACGTGTGACATCTTTAAAAATGATGAAAGGAAGAACAGGGTTTAGAAAATACGATTTTCATTTTAAATACTGTTTACACAGTGATTGTATCTGTTACATTAAGCACATTTTGAGATCGACAGGGTTCCTGCGGAAGATCATCAGCAGGGTCCAGTGCCCCCATGACTCCACGTCCTCTCCTTAGCTTTTAGGACAAACTACTGATGACTGTGCACACAGGATCCTGGGTTCTAGCACATAAGAATTCAGACTTAATCTTTCCCAAGATGCTCAAAAATTACATTACAGAGAATAATTTGACAGGAGGATAAATAACTAATATATTTGCTAGTTAGCCAGCAAGTAAGTGATGACTCCTGAGAACTGTACCTATTGAAATCCTATCTTTCTGTGCAAGAATGGGCCCCCCTCACAGGCAGGCTGCCCCGGAAAGTTTCAGTTATTCTTACACTGGTCTAGGTATTCCTAGGTATTTCCATTAGAGCTTCTCAAACCTGGAGAGCTGGTGTCTGAATATATTAGTCTACACATTTACTTCAAACCTAACAGGACCAAGGCTCGGCTGAGCTG